TCTAAATGTTTATGTTATTATTAAGAGGAAAGATCAAAGTATTTTGGGGTATTTTTTTACATTTTTTAATCGTTCCTAGCACGTCCGAAATTTTCGTTAAAATCTTTTTTTTTTTTTTTGAGTCAGCAAAATTGACAGATAATCGATTTGGCCATTTTTTTTCCATTTTAAAAAAAGATGAAAATCTCACTTTGAAATTCTTTTAAAAATCAATTATCATTTTTTCAAAACTTATTTTAAGAAAAAATCAGAAATTATAATGTTTATTTAAAATATTTTGAACCAAAGCTTAACTTAGCTTCTGTGCCGAAAAGATGTAATTTGCAAATAAAACAACGCAGGTCATAACCTTTCGCGTCACTTGACAGGTGTTGAATGATGTATTGATGGATTATGTGATCATAATTTGTTCTACGGAAGGAGAAAAGTGAAATTATTTACATTTAAGTGAACAAATTATTTACCTCGTTATTTTTAAGGAAAACTTTCAGCGTTCTAATTTTTTTTTTTTTTTTTTGTACTTAGCTTTCACCTTTACGTTTACGATGCTTTATGGAAAATATATTATAAAGAAATTAAAATAAGACTGTTAAAGAGTGAGATTAAATTTCATATTTCATATAAAAAGGTATCTAATTAATTTATAGGTACCTTTTTATGAAATTTTATCAGAACTGTACATAAAATACTATAATTTTATGTACATTTATTACATTTTACTCTGTTATTTGTATTTCCATTCATTTTATTATTAATTTTGATATTTCATTTATGGAAAAATGTCATAACTTGAGATTAATATAAAAATAAGATCATATAAATTTCATAAGATGATACTGATACTTGTAGGTACCCTTCTCAGTTGAAATTGAAAAATCAAATTAACTTCTCCACACGTGTTTTCGCAAAAGTAAAGGCCTTAACAGCGGAGAACAATGCTTAACTCAAATAATGCAACTTAATTGTATTCTGGTTGGTCTTCCGTACTTTATAATTACAGCCCGATTATAAACACAAAATTACATTTCTTAATTACTGCGGATCTTCTGATTAGTCAAAATGATACAATTTACAACGCGCTAAAAAAGATCTATCTCATAAGGACATTTTAGGAAACCTGATGCGGCTTTTAACTAATTTTATAATATTTTAACAACTTAAATGTAAAATCTATTATAATTTAAAAAATAACAAATAATTGTATTAAAATTCATTTTTCATTGAAAAAATTTTTTTTGCTTTCAGAAAATATTGTCCATATTCATAAAAACAACTAAAAGCAAATAAAAGCATTTGAAATTAAATAATATCTTTGTTTTATTGAGTTTTGTATGTTACAATTCAGAGCTGATTTTCAGGTAGGGGGGTGCGGATCCAAAAAAAACAAAAAAAAAACAGGATTTGCATTCCTCAAAGCCTTGTACTTTTACCTATTGTAATCACTAAATCTGATGAGTTCGAATTTCTAGCGTTTTCATAAAATTAGTTATTGGGTGGGTAATAAATTTAAAAAAAAATATTTCTGCCATGACTAATAAAAATTATTTTTAATAATTTCGATCACCTGTGAATAGTTTCTGAAAGTTTTATTAACATCCGACAATTATTTTTATTTTTGCAAGATTTTCCAAATTAATGTGTCATACAAAAAAAAAAAAAAAAAAAAAAAAAATTGTCTATGTTATGTTATTTTACTAGTTCCGCTGATACAAAGAGAAACAAGGTTTTTTTTAATCAAAATTTAGAATGTTCTAAAAAGATGGAAAAATTTTAAAAAAAATAATAAAAAAAAAACTTTGGTCTTTCCTCTTTATAATAACATAAACATTTAGACGATAAAATTTTGTTTTTTCAAGTTTGGCGTCTTTTTTTCATCAAGCTATGCTTTTTTTTTAGCGATTTCGTGGAGGTACCTAAATTAACTTCAACAACATTCATTAACATGTGTAAAAATGTGTGTGTTTATTTATGGTGTTTTATGATTGATTAAGATCATGATATATAAAAAAAAGGAAACATAGAAGTTTTTTTATAAGGAATTCTAAAGCTGGGAGGAAGAGGTTGACTTTTTCTTTTTGCAATTATGGCTATTTTATACTATAAAATTTCGTTCAACTATTGAAAGGAAGAATAAAAATTCTATTCAAAAAAAAAAAAAAAAAAATTGTAGCGAACAAATTTTGTCTTTGAATTTGGTTACAATTCAATTCATAAAAAAAAACAAAAAAGCATTTAGTGAAAAGAAAGAAAACAATAATCTTTGTCAATTTTATTTTCAGTCAAAAAAATATTGATACGTCAACTATTTCAAGAAATGGAATAATTGAAAAGTATTTTCTACATTAAATCACATTTACTATGATTTGTATTGTATGTATTTGTCCTCAACAAATACAATTAATGCTTTGTTTATTTTCCAAATCAGAAAATGATTAATTTTCATATAGAAAATATTTACTCTTCATCAAATATATAACTGTCAAACACCTCGAGTAACATTTTTTCTTTTTAAAATGGTGTAAACAACTCCTTTTACCAGTGTTAAAAATAATAGAGGATTTTTGGGTCTTTGATTTGTTAGGTTAAGAACACGTGCTGTTTATTCCTACTAGAAGGTCCAATTACAAGAAAATGGCGGACTCAAGTTGAGTTCAACTGAAAAGGTAAAGAAAACAAACAATACCGATATATATATATATATATATATATATATATATGTCAACAAATATACAACAAATTTACACGTGACAAAGACATCAACATTTATGTTTGCGTGTGAAAGTTTCTGTTTCAAAAATGTAGAGTTTGTATTTTGGTGAATGTTTTTACATACGTGTATGTGTGTATAATGTTATGGCGTCTCCACAAATGGGAAGTAAAAAATGATTACGTTGTAGATGTGTTTGAGATGAAGAAATGAAAAGAACGAGGCAAGAAGTTGCCCAGTATTTTATATATAGGGAGAGCGTTTGCAGTGAAAAATTAGGGGAATTAAGGAGGAGCTTTCCACAATATCATTTGTTTTTTTTTTTGGACAAAGGAATAAGAAATGTTTTAGATAAACGAAAATGTTCAAATTTCCGAAATTCTCTGCAATTTACGATTAAAAATGAAGCATCAGTTATGATAGCTACGAATAGTGAGCATTTGTTTTTTTTACCTTTGTATTAAAACTGTCCAGTCTTACAATCGACAGTCATGTGTCTAGTTCATTCTTTGATGAAATCTTTGCCAAGAAGTTTTATCATTTACTACTCACTTGAAAATTGGTAATGTTAGTAACATATGTGTGTTTATTTGTTTGCATATGTTGAAGCTGTTAGAAAAAAGGTATAGTACTCTTTGACCTACTCATATAAACAAAAATATATATCAACAAATTTATCCCTTGTCACTTCTCCAGTCGTGGATTAGCACTGAAGCGAAACCCGTTACGCACTGATGATAGGCTTTGATGGGCGGGCGCCATATTGACATATGTGTTTAGTTTTTGGTCGAGAGCTGCGAAATGCTCTGGAGTTTTCTTTCTTGATTATTCTACGTATCTAAGGTTTTTATTGTTGCTGTTTTTCTGATTTTATGTTGAGATGTTTTTGATGGAAAAAAAACAATGACTCCTATAAGTAGCGAGCAGCAAATCCGTGATGAGAATGGATTTCAAAATATTCTCCCTAATTATTGGCATTAAGTCAGCGAAAAAGATTTTCACTGAGTTGCATAACTGGTAAAAGGATTCTGATGCCGAATTTAGCATAGAATAAACGATGTTGTGTTTAACTTTTTAGCTTAATTCACTTAGCAATTTACTTAATAAATCCAATGCCTTATTAACAAGTATTTGTTTGCTGTTACTCGAATTCAAAACGATTAAAATTTTCAAAATTTAAATCTTTTTTTTTTTTTTTTTCTTTTTAATCATTTCGCCCTAAACAAGGCAACAAAGCCACTAGAACGCAGAAGAGGAGAGTGTGAGAGAAAAAACTATTAAGGAGAGAAAACAATAAAAGAACAGGAATTAGGAAAACAAAAGATAACAATTGACATTGCATTTAGATTTTTGAAGCAAGAAGCCGGAAGAAATTTCCACAAGTGAGAAGTGCAATAGAAGGAACTGTTAACATAGAACTTACGGTTACATCTCTGGCCATTTCAACTGTAAAATGATGAGATCTTGCCGCCAATCTAGTATTGCGCTTAAATTCCTAAAATCTATGCACCAAAGAGAATAATTACAATGAAAATATTTATAGCTACGTCATGTTGGTGAGAAAGTAACTGAAGCCGAGATATCAAGTCAGGACTAATAACATTGAAGATTCTACTTTGTATTTTACCAAGAATCTCTAAATACATAACAGAATCACCAAATCAAATGTGGTAGAAACCAGATATTTAAAGCATGGACGAATTGTAGACTTATAAAAATGCAAGGTAGATTCTGGCGAGAAAAATTGTCTAGCACAACAGAGGGAACCAACTTTCCAAGCAAGCAGACCTAGAAATTGATTCAATAAAATCTTTCCATTTTATGTCAACGGAAAACGTTAGCCCGCAATGAGTCACTTTCCCTGGGGGTTAGTATCAGACATACAGATGGAAGGCAAAAAGGATTCTCTCAGACGATTAAAATAGGAGGCTAATGTATTTCAGGAGGTCAATAGGTAGAATTTCTTGAAAAATGCTATTGTATATTCTACTTTGATGTTACGTAAACCTCATAAGCAATATTCAGTGATTTAATAATTTGCCATTGAGGATTCATGTCTGTTGATCATTCAAAATGTTGACAGTAACAGCTGTTTTTTATTGTCAAAGATATTCTTATAACATAATTATTGACATCATAAAACTTGACAATCTATGGTTCTGTTCATTCATGCTGTTTGAGGATTAAAACTTCAGATAGTCGACTATTTTACACTCGTCTTATTGATATTTTGTTAAGCCTATTAGAATTCTCGACGCTTCAATTAATAACTTCTACATTTCAGTAGGTTTACATGCTACGCGATGTTCTTTCGTCATTGGTGATCCAAAATAGGGTTATATTAACATTGGAGACAAGGTCAAGTCATAAAGGAAATGTAGATGCGTGTGAGTTTATATTCGATAACACGCTTAAACATTTTTACCACTCATAAAAGCGTGTGTACAGATCTCTAAATTTGTAGAATGTTCTGCTTTCTTTTCTTTCTGAAGCAACCCGCGGTCATTCTTCAGTAAAAACTCAAACATTTCTGCTTCTTCTTTTTAATCTAAGTTCAGCTCCCACGACCAGCCAACGCCTTCCATGTCAATGCCGAAACTACATCAGAAAAAAAAACAAAAAAAAAAACAGATTTCTTAAATAACCAGAAATTGAATTCAGATTTGAAAATTATATAGGCGTAACCTAATTTTTCCATTGGTTAAAAAAAATTCCCAAAATGTATCTCTTAAATCCTGCCTGTTCACAAACTAAATTTTATACATGTATCTTTTTTAAACTGTCAGACTTCATTTTGGTGGTATTTTTACAACTTTCAATTTGCGCCTCGTATATACAGTTTGACACATCAAATTTTATTCCAGCCATTTTTTACTAACCATCGACTTTATTACAGCAGTTTTTTCATTTAAAGAATATGTTAGCAAATTCTTTCTTTTAATAAATGTGTGTGTAATGCACATAAATATGAACGTCTACGAGTTTTTGTTTCGATTTATTTTTCTTTCGGGATCAGCTCGAATTTTAAAGAAAATATTTTTTTTCAAAGCCACTATAATATCGATAAACCTGCAAATACATACGCGGTACGCATACATCTACTTTTCTACTTACATTATGGCACATTGCATACACGGACTAGTAACATGTGGTTTACATATGAGAAGCATTTCTGACAGGAGTTGTGATGTCAGTTTCAGTGAACCTTTTCATCTCTATATACGGGACTATTAATCCTAAAACAGTGACATGCTGCATGTATTGACAAACACACATAGATGAGTATAAATCAGAACAAACACATCAACCTACAAATACTTTATAGTTTCTGTTGCTTATTGTTAACAATCTTCAAATTCAAAATTTATAACTACCGCTTTATTTACAAACATTTTACAACTTTACAAATAATGAAAATAAGTCCTTTCCTTTTTGCTCTCATTAAATCTTATCAAGATGACATGCAATTGTTATCTTTCCAAAAAAAAACTGATACTAAGAACAATACTTTTGCCTTTTTATATAATATGCAAGATTTAATGGCGGAATATTACAAGCCAAGATTATAACTAATCTTTTGTAAGTTGCAATGTGTTTTCCCGTACGTAATAAAATCAAGAAAATTAAAACTAAATTAAAATAATACTAACATCAGTTCTATGATTAATAGAACTGAGATTGGTGTTATTTATTTATTTTGTGGCCTATGAAATTTAGTTCGTTTTTCACTAAGACGAGTATTCATTTGTACAAGTTTTGTTGAGAAAGTAACAAAGAAAATAAGAGAAAGAAATAAAACAAGGAAAAACGTTCACATAATAATAACTGTCTTTAATCTTACAAGTCGTGGTGTCATGTCTTAGAAAATATGAGCTTCACTTTTCGGATATGTTTTCATAAGATTAAAACCAGTGAATATTGTGCCAGATCGAGAGTCCAACCAGCAGTTAACGATATTTATACTTTCTTAATAATAATAATTAGGTCTTTTTATCACATGTATACATGTAATTGCAACAGCGAGATATATAAATATGTATTTATTTTTAATTGTGAAAGGGTTGCTGTGGAAACTTATACGTAACCCTAAGCGTAAAATGAATAAATGAAGAGAGGAGGAGAGAACGTGAATTTATAGACATTTATAAACGATCGTTTGTCTTTTTTTTGTCATTAAAAAGGAAGAGTGAATTTTTAGTCATCTGTGGTTTTATGTTGCGTTCATCTTGAATTTGTAATCATTGAGTATGTGAAGAAATGAATGAGATGTAAAAGTAAAAAGGAAAGAAGAAAAGAAAGAAATCAGAAGAGACGGACAGAATCACTTTTAAAAACGATGAGATATGAAAGGACACTTATAGAGAAAGGATATGAAATAGAGAAAAGATATGAAAGGACACTTATAGAGAAGCAGAAAAATAATAGTTTGAAAACGTGAGAAGCGTAGACAAGCGGGAAAAAGAAAGAAAAAAATGAAAATCAAAAATAGCATTTTAATGTCCAATCGTGAAATTTGAGAATGGTGCCAATTTCCAAACATTCTGACAGTACCAAAAAAGACAAAATCCATAACGAATCTTGTTTTGTGTAGCAATGGTAATTATAATAACACTACGGGTAGTTCTGCAAGGGTTGGAGTGGGGGTGGTTACAACAGCTGGCAATATAAGTGAACCAATCGAGAACAAAGTGAAAGGTACTTGAAAAAAAAAAGTTTCGAAATTGCCCTGGCAGCCAATCACCAAAGTCTATTTGGATTTTCGCGGAACATTTACTTTGTTTCCATTCTGTGATACAGGGTTCATATTTTCTTCTTTTTTTACCGGGTTCAGAAATAAAAACACGTTGAAGCTCGCACTTATCATCAGAAACCCTTATTTTATTCGGGCATATTTCATCAAAAAGAAAAAATCACATATCCAACGTACATATAATCTCACCAGGTAAGAAAATTAATTTTTTATTTAACCCTTTTACAGGCGCCTCCCTTATTTCTCATCCAATCGTTTTTTAACATTCAAACAAATATTGCTTGATCGAATGATCTTCTATTATTACAACATTAATCAAATCGTTTCATTATGACTTCTAATAATTGAGTTTCAAATCGCCTGAAAAGATTTCTTTCGTCTTAGTTCTTTTTGCTTTTTATCGCAACACCAAAGTTGTCAGTCTACGATCTTTAGAGATACGCAATAAACAACAGAAATGAAGATAAAAAAATACTAATTAAAAAATTATTAATAATTGACACGGCGTTATTCCAGAAATGAGAATATTTCTGACAATTTGACATTTTTGGTTGGTTGCTTTCAGTTTTAAAATGAATATTTTATAAAATGGGGCAGTGCACTTCATCAAAATTTAATAAAACAATAATCTATTCATTGCATGAATTTCTCAATTCAGTTAATTATTTAAAAGTTTTATACGATATAACACCAAATAAACAATTTGGAAAAATAGAAAATGAGAATTTTAATGAATTTACGAGTAAATAAATTTGTAGCTTGAAAATCAGCATTAAGTGTTTCACTCTGTAAATAGGTATTTCTGGAACAAGCTAATTTTAGAATATGGTCACATTCAGTATTCTACAGCTGCCCCTGTTTCTAATATATATTTATTTATATATATATATATATATATATATATATATATATATATATATATATATATATATATATATATATATATATATAAATGTATACATTAAAGAGGGGACAAAACGCTTTGCAAAAGGTTTACGATACAGCTTCAAATTGACAGAATTCTGACCAAAGATTTCTAATAACTTTTCTATGTTCATTTTTGCTACAAATAAAAAAAAATATTATTCCTGTATTTAATGTATTAATAATAAACTTTGGTTCAAATTTTATCAAATTTGAAACTGTATAAAGTATATTAAAATAAACTTTTCAAAAATGAGATACATTCTCCAGTCGTTGAATAGCAAGACTTATTCCAAAACAAAACCATTTAAAAAACAACGAACCAAACACGGTTAAAAATAAATCAAAACCTCTTTTCTCTCCTCTTTGCTCAGATGAATTGAACGCATTTATTTGTTTCGTAACAAAATTTCGTGGAAAAAATGTTCGCTATTTTTATATTGATAACTCTTATTTAAAAATGGCCTCTACTAAAATATAAATAAAGAGTAAATTTATTTGTTATGAAAATAGTTTCTCTTTTGTCATCAGTCAGTGGTAGTATTTTTGCTTGTTTTTAAGTCGGGGTTAAGCAAAAACTTTTTTACTTGGGGGTCTGGCGCAACACATTATTTCTCGTCTCCTCTGTCTCCTCTCGCTTTTTAGTAGGTACCTATAAAAATATAGTATTTACTTTAAGAAAGAATTACAATTATTATTGTTAGTCTATGGATTCATAAACTGATCAACTCATTTCCAGATTTCATCTGTTCATAATTATTATGAAATAGATGTTTTCACTTGTACAGAGACTTTCTTTCTAGTAAAGTTCTGATAAGATAAAAGACGCAATAATTTCTACGAATGATTTTCATTTTTCAAAAGTTATACTGACTTCTATGGCATTGAGATAAATTAGAAAGAATTTTAAAAAGTAAAATAACAAAATAATCAGTGAGTAAAAAGTGAGGGAAATATAATTCATACATTTTTACTTTGTTCAAGAATAAAAACAATTTGAATTTAGGACAGTTGTGATGTTGCATTTTAATTTGTCAAAACCTTTTTTTACAATCACAATACGAAATTTGTGTATGAAAAAGAAAGAGAGGCCGGTCAGCTGCTGACAGACACTGAGGTAAAATTCGATTATTGAATTACAAATGGGGAGCTTTCCACTACTGCTCCACACAGATTAACACTAGAGAATCTATTTGTCTCGTATTCAGGCCATTTGTAGATTTTATATATAAATTATTGAATAAGAGGCACAGCGAAAACAATTCGACTTTGGCCTTCGCAGTCTATTTCCAATTAAATCAGTTTTAAATACGAATCAATCAGCATTCGTTACAAAATCATCTGAGTGGAAAAATCTGTGATAATGAAATGATCAATATGAGGTGTCTGGTTTTTGGATTTATTTATTTTAAATTTTAGCTTCTGTCTCTTTCGTTCTCTCTTTCTCTTTCTTTCTCTCTCTCCCCATTTCCTCTCCCGCTCTCTTCCTTTCACTCTCTCTTTTCTCTCTCTTCCCCTTTCTTTCTTTCTTTCTTTCTTTCTTTCTTTCTTTCTTTCTTTCTTTCTTTCTTTCTTTCTTTCTTTTGTGTGTGTGCGTGTTTGTGTGTGCGTGTTGTATATATGTACAAATGTTTTTGTTTCTTTTTAAAATGCAGGCTTTTTATCATTTATTATTAACGAAATACTAAGACCTTTTAAATAAATATATAGTTTTTTTTCTAATGTAATTTGTACATGTAACGCCGACAAAAGAATGGAACAGAGACGTACAGAAGCGTATAAAAAGGAATATATTTTCTATTTTTATGCTTTACTTGCTGACAGAAGAGCGATATAAGCTCGTAAGCTAAATTTCTCGTTAAGTACTATTTTGCTGTGACATGGGTCAGAAGCTTTGTAAATATCTATTTAAACCAAATTTAGATGAGGCAATAATTATTTCCTCACATGAGTATATTAAGGGCGCTGGTACTCATCTCGCCTGCGTTGGTAAGAAATCACGGTCATAAAAGAATGGGTATTTTCTTGCACGAAACATAGTTACTATTTAAATTTCTTTCGTAATTTTTTAGTATTTTGATTTCTTTATGCTTTCTTAGAACAAGATAATTTTTTCTGTTTGTAGAATCATCCACAAACAGAAAAAATTATCTTTAAATAACGATGATCAGAGAAAGTGATTTTTTACATTGATCTATGAAAACAGATGTCATCTTTATCTGGAAATTTTTAACTGAAATTGAAACTAATTAAAATGTTTTACAAAGATTTGAGAGAAATTTGTTTACCCCATTTGTGAACAAATTCTTTTCCACTCTTTTCTTTCTTTTTATGTGCCGTGTCCTTTCAGGACGTAGGCGATCATGGCTCTCCACCTCCTTCTATCGCTATAACTATTTTTCCCAAAGACGAAACATTGCTAGCCTCTCGCTACTCTGTCGCGGATGATGTTAGGACGAGCTGTATTCTTTAATTCCTGCAAGTTCAGGCCAATTTCATTTCTCCTTTACACAAACAGGCAAAAGTCGAATTAACTGAATTTATAGAATAAAGCATGTCAACCGAAAGGAAATTCGGTGGAATTTTGTTCTAAAATTTTAAAATCGTTTAAAGAATGATAAATAATAATAAAGATTGATAATTCGGTGTATGCATATACAACAGATCATTAAATAATTTTAGATACCATTTACATGTATAAGATGCCATTGCTACATTACGATGCATATATATATATATATATATATATATATATATATACGTGTGTGTGTGTGTGTTTATTTAAATATTTTTGATAAATAATTAAGTCTGTTTTTACTCTTTGACTTTGATAGCATTTTGGTTGTTTGTGAGTAACTCTCTGTAGCGGCACCCCCTCCCCGAGCGGCCCCGTATCACACAAGGGTGAATGAGGTCACAAGAGGCCCGCTAACATTTTTGAAGACGTTAAATCTGACGGTGAAACAATATGGACGACAGAACGAGGATATATATGATATATGCTAATTTATTCTAGAAAAGAAAATAAGGAGGTCGGAACGATGGAGGTGCAGAAGTTCTAGTGCAGGCATTGATGGTCGAGGTTGGTGTTGGTAGTTGCCGGGATGATCGCTGTTGGTTGTTGGAGTTGAAGCTGATGTGGGTTGTTGCCAGGATCATCGCTGTTGATTGTTGCAGTTAATGTTGGTGTTGGTTGTTGCCAAGATCATCGCTCTTGATTGTTGCAGTTGATGTTTGTCTCGACCGGGTTGCCAACTTGACGTGTTGGGAAGGAAAGAAGAGCTGGCGATGTTCGGTCATGTCACAGGTCCAGTGCAGGCGTTGCGTGTTTGCCGGTCGAGTCCGATATTAGTAACCTCCCATATTAATTACTAACATAGTGTACGGGAAAGGTTAAGGACGACGTGCAGGCAGCCAGTAGGGATGGAATGCCGAGAGTTGAAAAGAAGCCAGGAAGTAGTAGGCGAAGGAGAGAGAGAGAAAGAAAAGTTTCCAACGATCGTCAAGTTGGCAGACAAAAAAGAAATGGGAGCGTAACTTAATACGCAGCCCGGTGATCGACGATCCTGGCCAACGAAGGCCAGGGGCCTGCTTATCCGACCGTTTCAGTCGCAGACCCCCTGGAATTTAGTGAGAAGCCACTGCCTTGTGATAAGAGAGACCAGCAAGTAAATTGGATAAGCTAACAGTAAAGTCTCTATAATAAAATACGTCGAGGTTAGCTAAAGGGAACTATGGCCTAAAAATGTCTAGAAGTATATTACAACAGGGTTTGTAATATAACTTAACTAAAAAGGGGACTTGCTAGTCTCTCTCACGGGTTTACAGCGTATAGGGAGCATGAACGAGAGGTCAAGGTCGAAATGACCTGTTCCTCTGCCGGTTTAAGGATCGAAGGAGGAGGTAACTTGTTACTATGATCCTTATGCTGCTTATTAATGTGTTGTCTGATGGCATTATGCTTTGAAATGTAACAGGTGAGTTGTTGTGAGAGTGTGGTTGTGGCATATTCTATGTAAGAGTTTTTGTGTTTTCTATTTATAGAGAAACATTCTCTGAGTGGGCAAGTATATACGTACACAATCTTGATCTTATATAGGAGTTTTAAATTTTTATAAATATTTAATATATTATTTTTAATAACTAAGTTGCTAATTATGAATTTTTTGTAGTAAATAAGGAATCTGATGTATTTATTTTCATAGACTGGTTTTATATATCTATGTATGATGCTTTCTATTGCTGTTTCATCTTTTTTGTAATTGTGGTGCATTTGATTTTGGTAATATATGTTAATAGCGTTATTGTTAGTATTATGTTTATGACTGTACTTTTTATTATTAAGATTGTTGTTGTTTAAATGAAATTTGCTTTGCTTATTGACTATATAAGTCATTGAAGTGTTTATTTTATATTATTTAATTATTTCAGGAAAACTATTTTGGATGAGGAAATGAGTTTAGCTCTTTGCATTATTTTATTAATGACCGCGGTGTTATATTTTTCAGAGAATTCGCTGTTGTAAGAAAGCAAGAGTTAAGATGTGATAAGAGTTAAGATGTGATAAGAGTTAAGATGTGGTAAAATTATCGCTGTTAGAGTCAATGCGAATATCTAGAAATAGGATTTTTTTATCGATATTTAGTTCATAAATGAACTTTAAGACGGACTCCAAATGTTTTCAAGTTCTATAATGTCATTAACGGATTTGGTTTGGATGAAAATGTTATCAATATATATGGTATAAATAGTAGGTTTATTTATTTTATTGAATATTTTGTTTTCTAAGTTAGCGATATAAATATATATGAGTATATACATATATTCAGGATTAAAAGAAATACAATATATCCATATATTTTATAAGCACATATATGATGGCCGCCACCTTGATTTCGACTATGTCCATAGATTCCCAAGTTGGCATCTACGTGGATGACACCACAATTTACTCCTGCCTCAAAAACAAATCTAGTGTCGCTGACAAAACTAACCTGGCCGTGCTTCTCGAAAAGAACCTCCAATCGGTTGTGAACTGGGGCAGGAATTGGCTGGTCAACTTTAATGCCTCAAAAATAAAACTGCTCTCTATTCATCACCACAGAGATCCTTCCCTGCCCTACATTAGAATGTCTGACGCTCAACTTCTCGAGAGCAACTCTCTGCGGCTGCTCGGTCTCACGTTGACTACTGACCTGAGATGGAACAAATACATTGAGTCAATTGCTTCGTCCACCGCAAAGAAAGTTGGCTCCCTTTGCCGCGCCAGGAAATTTTCTCCCTGGAATCGATCCTTCAAATCTACAAATCAACAATTCGCCCTTGCATGGCGTATTGCCACCATGTATGGTCTGGAGCCCTTACTATTTGCCTTGGGGTTCTTGATAAGATCCAGAGGCGGATATGCAATATAATTGGTCCCAATCTGGCATCTCGTCTACAGTCGCTCTCTTACAGACTCACCGTCGCCTTTCTCTGTCTTTTTTACAAATACATTCATGGTAATTGCTACGAGGATCTGCATTCGCAGGTTCCCAAACTTGATGAATTCAAGCGCCCTACGAGGCTGGAATACCGCTCTCACCCTTTTACTGTTGAAACTATTAAATGTAGCCATCTCTTCTACTCGAATAGCTTCATATCTTGCACCTCTCACCTGTGGAACTCCCTTCCCTATTCCAGTTTCCCTGAGAGCTATAATCTCCAACTATTCAAATGTAATGTCAACCGACATCTCCAGTTGCCTTGATCTATCCACTATCCTTCTCCTCATCATTTCTTCTATCACTCCTATCTCGTCTTGCTCCAAATCTTCTGTAACCCCTTGCGCCCTAGTGGCTTCCCGCCTTGCTTGGGGTGAATCGATTAAAAAAAAAAAAAAAAAAAACTTGTCATCGTAAATCTCAGATGATATGTACTATCATTTACTACACACATGAATCTGATGTCACATTTTTGTTTGTATGTACACTCCTCCTTCTTTCTTTTTGTTGTGGTCCTGGTTACATTTCTCTCTTTTCTCTCAATGTTCCATCTATTCTTGAAAAATCACATTCCTCTGTTTGTCGGACATTAACAACTGAAAAATTTTTAAAGAGGTCAGTGATTATCATGGATTATATTAATAATCCCATATCTTATTTATTGCCTTTTTTCCTAATTCAAATACTTTCATCTTTTCCTTTCTCCTCTTAACTTTGTTGATCATATCTTTGATGTGTACAGAGCCCACAAGCAAACATAAGAACTTATCTACTCTGTATTACAAAAGTGTTTGGAGATAAAACGTTTACATCTCAACATCCTAAGGAAAGGAGAAGTAACCAAATAAAAACAAGTAGGATTTAGTTCGTCGCCGGGCACAATTTTCATAGAAGCAATCCTTTAGTTTTTAGGATGTCCCAGTTTAAATCAAATAGGTTATATCTCTTGCAGATGTTCCATGGTAAGAAACGCCATCATTAACAGCTGCAAAATAGATAATCAAAAAAAAAGAGGGAGAGAGAGTGAGATAAATAGAATGTATGTAGAGTTACAAAAAAGGTGTTTAAAGCATTTGCTTGTGGAGTGTTAGGCCCTAATTAAGTGACTCACTATTACGTGGCCGTGTGTCTAAGCAAGTTAAATGAAGTGAACATTTAAATGAAAGTAAAGCATAATACCAAATTATAAGTATTTATAGTAAGCAAAATTTGCAGTTTGTAAAGTTAAACTCCAGCAATGATAAAGATCATGCTGCGCCAAATCATTCAATAAGAAAGTCTTGCCTTCTTAGTTTAGTCCTCAGGCAAGTCATAGTAAAAAAAAGGCAATGTCCTTACCAGTCAAATATGATTAAAATTCATTTTTTATTTTCTACTAATTATTTTCTATCTTAACTGAAATTTCCGGTTAAGCTTTCCCGCGTTAGATCTGGCAAACATTTAATGTTCAAATAAAATATGTATTGATTTTTTTACAATGATTTACTTTTACAAGGCATTGAGGGCATACTCGACGTAGAGGGTTATAGTTGTAACAGGCCGGGCTTATGATCAGGTATATTTTTGGAAGATAATGGTTAACTCTACATTTGAACAGGTTAAGATTGTATTGATCGGAGAATCATCCTCTTAGAAGTCGGTTCCACAAAGCAGTGGTTTGTGAGAAGCTGCTGCTCGAGTTGAACCTACATCTCACCAATGGGACTGGAATCAAAGAGAATGAGGTCCTCCACCAAATTTATAAACCTCAATTCCACTAAGGTTAGAACTAACAAAAGAATACAGTTAAAGCTGAGTTAATCTGAAAATTTTCTCTTTAGAAATAAAAATTAAGCAAGATTTTTTGAAATTCATTCGTCTGTGAAAAAAATATAAACTTCAAAAACAATTTAAATCGCCCTCGAATATATTTGGACTATCGAAAGATTAAAAAAAAAAAAAAAAGAACTTAGAATATGAACCATATATGGCAGCAATAATCTATTTTGAACTTAAGTATGGATCAGTTAGAAAAATTGATCAGTTAATTTTCCATCATCTTTTTAGGGATCGTTTTTAAACAAGTTCCACTTGTCTAGGCTGATAGGACTTTGTTTTTTTTTTTTCGATTGTTTATTTGAAATAGGAAGAGGGCTGGACCTTGATATAGAGTTTGGAGGACATCCGTGTCGATCGTTTGGGACTTTGGGGATTGGCCGTTAACAAGTACCTCAAAGACCTACCCGTTAAGAAGGACTTTATCACTGATAAACACTTCCATTGATTCTGTAGAGAGCATTCCAAATTTATCGGCTTTATACCGAGATTTTAAAAAAATATCTAATACTGATCATATTTCTGAGATATTTGTTGTTTGCCTCACTATTTCAGTATTCGGACTATATGATATCTTCTTTGTTAACCGAATTTATCGAAATCCGTTTATTTGTCGCTCAAGTCTAAGTTCTCTGAGATGAGGTGATCAACAACCTATTTACATTATTATTTGACTTTTAGCTTCTTTGTTGTTTATTAATGACACTGAGGGGACTTCAGGCCTGTCTATGAGGGGGGATGAACGCTCATCCGCATTCTTGAAAATTGGCCTCATCTTTAAACTTGGGAAGGATTCCTCCTTCAATTTCAGTGAGGTGGGGGAAGTCTGGAAGGGGATGGTTTTTAAATCTAATGTTTTATGATCGAAGTGAAGAGCTTTGCCTTATCTGACGAGGATCAAATGAGTTCGGGGCCATTTATGGGAATGCATATTTCTGTAGAGGCAGAAAATTATACTGTATAACTTCACTGTTCGTGGTTTCATTTATCTGCGGTTTATCAAATCAGCAAAACTTTCATATTTAACATTTTTATCAAACTAAAATTATTTTATGAAGATATTTTCAAACAAGTGAAGATATAAGCAAATAAATAAATAAATAAATAAACATCGCTTAAGTATTAAATGATAATATTTTGGAAAAAACAAAAAAAATTAAATATTCTCAAAAGCATAATGTATGTGTCATTAGATCCTCAAGTAAAAATCTCAAATTAACAAGAAAAAGTTGTTTATTCATCGCTGAAATGCTTTTCATTTCATTTTACAGTTTATTTTCTGTAGGGAGCGTTCTGTCCTTTCTGTCATCCAATGTGTTCCTGATTTAGCGTAAAATATTGCCGAAAAAAATATTACTCCAATTATGTTATAATTAAAATGTATTTTTTCGCATTTTATGAAAAAATTGGACTTTTTCTTTCTAGCAAAAATAAGAAAAAATTAAGATTTAAAAATAAATTGTTCATCGTCGATTAAATGTTATTTTTAAAAAAAAAATTCATCATCCGCGGAGATTTGGGAATCTATCTACCGCGGATAATGAAGTACTACTACATTTGCTTGAAACCTGTAAATTGTACATACTTATGTTTTATACATAGAATTAATGGAATATGTGCGAATAAATAAATGTGTTTTGCGTAAAAACTCTTATAAGTGCGCTTTTTGTGCGATATTTTTTTTTTTAAGATTATGAGTTTATGCCAGACTGTTAAAGTTGACATTGTTAAATGTCATCTAAAAATAAGAAACATTAAAAACACTTTGATTTTTTTTTCGCACATGAGAACATACAAAGGACACATGAAACAGGTGTTGTAGATTAGAAGAACATTCACGCACACGAGCACATACATAACACGGGCAAATACAAACATGAGACATAACGTTGATATAAATACGCACATGATAATAACGTACACAAATGTACGTAAGTTTCCCCCCACTAATTGACATTTTTATGTAATTTATGATTTCTCATAAACAGTAAACTTTTCTCCTTTACCATCGAACATAATAGTCAAATACAAAAGATGAAGTGTAAAAAAATGAAATTCATTATGTCAACGAAGTAGTAAGCATCGAAAAGTTCATTATCTTTTAATACGGAACTCTTATCATATTATTATATGACTGTGGAAGCAACTGTCTTGATTCCTTTCATACACAAAATATATTGAAAGTGTAAGGAAATAATTATTTGGACACCTGTAAAATATTTGATACTTTCGAAGCGTTTACTTTAAATTTACACAGGTAATGTATTTTGATATAAAATTAACAATTACTAGAAAAATCGACATTTCTTGCAGACACTGCAAAATAAACTATAAACAAACGTAGCGATGCAAAAACGTATTCAGAAACATTGATTTCATATTTTACTTTTAAATTTCAAAGCGCTAGTTTTTTTCTGAGATATTTTAAGTCTTCACAAGCCCATTACAATTATTTTTGAAATCTTGGCCTAATCTTCTTTGCAAAGCATTTTCAAATCGTTAATGCTTCGAGGGTCATTACTATATCTGAGTTCGTCATAAATTTTCAAATGGATTCCAGTCAAGAGAATGAATAAGCCACTGAAGTCCTTCCATAATATTCTTAATAAATCATTTGCGTATTACTTTATACTTCGGGCTGAAAGAACGAACCCTCTTCAACTTTCTATAGTTGTATCAAAGACAATACATTAGCTTCAAAGTTACTCCTTGACATCGCTCCATTCATGGTTCCCTCAATCACATGATGTGTTCCCACTTTTGAACCTACTGAAAGAGAAATGAATCTGTGCCATTGAAACACCTCCTTTATCAAATTTCTTTTAATCACTGGTGCCTCCATCTTTTCTTCATATATAACGAGTTGGGTTGTAGCTGAAATGTTCAGTTTTCGTTTCGTGCAATCAAAGAATTCCCCGATTGCGTCGTTAAATATTTGATCTTAAAAACTTGGACAAAATATTACAATAACAACCATAACTATAATTGCAGTTCATTATTTAAAGAACTAAGATGGCATAAATGAAAAGATTAAAAACTGAAAAGGTTTTCCATTTCATTGAAGCAGACGTTAAACTCGTAGGAGCGTTATCACCTCCTCCCACTTTCATTTCTTTCTTTCTTTTTCTCTCTAAAACTAAACAGCGTCTCATATATCTTCCGTTTTTTCTGACAATCAAAACGGAATGGTGTATTATTTATCTGGGGTGATGGCAGAGCATAAGGCGCGTACTAACTGACTTACTAACTATAATAGGAACGAGCAGAATTATAATTTGATTTTTGGCAATTGTTAATTTTACATCAAAATACATCACCTGTGAAAATTTAGAATAAATGTAAACATCGGGAATATATTAAATATCATCCCACTGCATATAATCAAGTATTTTTGTTGTTGTTTGTTTTGGTTTTTTGTTTTTTTTGTTTTTTGCGGGGGGGGTTGTTTGTTAAGATTATGCATATCACTACTATAAAAACAACATTTTAGCAAGAATTAAAATACAATTGAAAGCCTCAGTTATTCCGCCATAAAGTTTGTTTTTTTTTTAATGTTTCCGTGTTTTAGACATATTTACCTTTCGAGGAAGGAATCGTTAAAGTTTGGAAACCAATAAATTATCTAGTATTTATTTATCACATTCAGACATTCATGAAATAAAACTTAGAAACCAAATTTCCAATCTTTACTGATTTCCTCTACGGATGAACAAGACTAAAATTGGGCAAAAATAGAAAACAATTTGTAAAAATCAATTTATTTTGAAATTTAAGTTTCTGATTTCAACCATAAAACTTTTTGACTCTTCAAAACGCGACAAAACCAAAAGTAAGATACTTTGAATTACACGCACACACACACACAAAATATATATATATATATATATATATATATAT